GCTGAACATTATGTTCCTGAAGGTTCTACCATGACAGGCAGGTTGACTGGAGAACGATCAGACTAAAAGCAGCTACACAAAGACTGAGGGCGAAGTCGTTCTGCTAACTGCAAAGGGCGGCTGATAGCCGTAAGGTGTTTCCCTCGAACAACCAGCATCTGAAGCGATGCTGCCTTCTCGCAAGGAAGGAAGGATTAGAAAAGTTCGACCCTAAAACTGTCACACCCTCATCCTACCTCACGGATTTCCGTCTCCGGCGGTAAGGGTGCCCACTAAGGGCTTTTAAGAGCGGAGCTAATACTCAAAAAGCCTTTCATAAAAAGGCCGTGCGTGACCGGCCTCAAGCAGTTGTCCCTTGGGCACTGCGGTCACGCTCCCAAGTCTCTAAGACTGACACTATTGTAATTTCCTTACCAGGTTCCTCAAGAAGCACCCTTCCACGGTGTGGGCAGCCGGAAAGTGATAACTGCCCTCATACTCGTAACAGCACGCGAGGCCGAATCGGTCATAATCAAATCCTTTTTACACCTCTTAATATCTCTCTTATCGTCACGACTAACTCTTCTCACATTCCTTTATCACAGTGCTTCGCTAATGCAAACGACGAGAGTTTACGAAACGTTATTCCTAGTCTACTGAAACCCCGTTCTAAATTACATGTTGGAGCATTTAATGTACAGACATTGTCAAATAGGGCAACAGGCTTCATTAGCTAGGACTTTAGAATCTCGCGCCATAAATATATGCTGCGTCTCTGAAACGCGCATACAAAATCGGAGTAGCGTCATTCACCTGACCTCTCCATATCAAGATAAAGAAACAACTCGATTTACCCTTCGTGTATCTGGAAGCCATGATGCTGCTTCCTGGGGTCTTGCTGGTGTTGGTATAGCATTGAGTCGTATTGCAGAATTAGCTCTCCTAGACTGGATTCCAGTAGATAGTCGCTTGTGCGCTGTCCGACTGAAAGGGACAGTGCGGACTCGGAAAGATAGGGACACTCGCCGTTGCCTCTTCTTTGTATCTGCCTATGCCCCCACTGATTGCAGTTCAGACGGGGTGAAAGATGAGTTTTACAGAAAGCTTTCGAACCTCCTCCAAAAACTTAGGCACTGTGATGAAGTAATAATGGCTGGTGACTTCAATGCTCAAGTAGGTAGACTGAGTGAGAAGGAAAGACACCTTGGTGGATCTTATGGTGTCATGGCTCAGGGAACAGATAATGGCTACCGTTTGCTGCAGCTATGCTCAGATGACCGCCTATCCCTAATAAACACTAACTTTATGCATAGGGTAAAACACTTTTTGACCTGGCTACCCCCAAAGTCGTCCTAACTCTGGACCCAACTAGATGACATTGCCATCAGCCACCGATGCAGAGGTTCGATAGAGGACTGTCGCTCGTTTTGGGGCAAATGTTTAAATTCAGATCATGCTCTAGTGCGAACACGTATTTGTTTGCTACTTATTGGACGTAGGAAAGACACCGCCAACAAACCTCTTAGGGTCCTACCTAATGATAGCATAGCTATGAATATATTTCAGGGGAAACTAGAAAGACAGTGAGCGACCATGTAAGTGATTTCCATCCGGAGGTAGCTTGAAATGATATCAGAAAATCTGTGGAAATAGCAATGATATCTGCTAGTAAGGTTAACCGTAAGGCTAGAAAGAAGCCGTGGATCTCAGTAGCATCCACCGAACTGATGGATGCTTGGAAATACATCTATCCTGGTGTTAGGATATTCATCCAATATCCTAAGAGAATTATTGGTCAATTACTATTGGTTATTTCCTAATGGTCAATCTTAGGGTCTTCCTAGATATCGATGTCACGTGCTCCAATGTTGTTTCTCATTGGTTGACCTGACTATCACTGTCACTACCAGTGTTGCTTCCTATTGGTCGTCTTAACTGTCAATGTCACAGACTTTGATGTTATTTCCTATTCGACCAAAATGTATGAATACGCATTATCCGCAACGTTTTATGACCACGACCAGGCCCCGGATCCCTAGTCCGGGATCCTGATTCTCTTCTGGACTCGGACCTCGTACTTTTTTGATGCTTGTAGAATACAGGTTCTACTTCATATCTTGTCTTATTTTTTACTCAATATGGGGGTTGGGATAATCGTATTTGAGTAGCCTGTCGTGTCGCCGGATCTTCGATCCTCACTCTCGCGTTTCCGACTAGGTAAACTCGTAATAGTTCAAGCATATCAAGCTGACGTGCTTACGTGCAGGTGTAACACCTGGCTCTGCACATAAGAAAGAGCGAAGCCGGCCCAAGCGCAGGCTGATAAAAAGCCTACGCAACGATCGCGAACAGTGGTAGGTGTCAAAAGCTAGAGCAACGGAAAAGGCACTGGCGATGGGCAACAGTAGACAACTTTTCCGCCTTATAAAAGAATGCATTATTAAAAACTCATATATTAGCAAAACCATCTCAGAAAAGGATGGGCTTATGATTCATTCTCGATCCAGAAGATTGGACTGATGGGCAGAACACTTCAGGGATCAGTTCAATCGGCCTTCAGCCACACTTCGGTTGCCCACGATCTCCAGTCATCCTGAATGGGGAATCGACGTAAGTCGTCCGACTTCTTATTAAGTGGAAAAAGCTATAAGAAATCTAAAGTGAGGTAGGGCAGCAGGGACTGATAGGCCCACCTTTGGGATTTTTAAGGATGGTCGTCCAGTTTTAACAGTTCGATTGACTAAGATCTTAGGTAGAATATGGGAACTAGGCGTAATCCCATCCAACTGGTCTCAATCGCTGATTGTCCCAGTCTACAAGAAAGGTCAAAAGTCCTCTTGTGACAATCACAGGGAAATCAGTTTAACTAATATAGTGTTTAAATTGTTAGCTTCGACAATACGACGCCTAACTAGAGGTCGTGAACAACAGATTGGAGAAAACCAGGCTGGTTTCAGATCTCGACGTAACTGTATAGATCACATCTTCACACTACAACAGGTCCTCGAAATCGGACACATTCAGATGTCTGGCAATAATTGTCTTCCTGGACCTTAAGGCAGCATCGACTCTGTGGATGGTGAGGTTCTATGGCGGCGTCTGTCATTGAGTGGTGTACCGAAGACGTACCTTAACCTTATACAAACACTCTACTCGAGCACTACAGGTCGAGTGAGAGCTTATGGCGGACTGCCATCGAAATTCTCTACTTCAAGTGGTGTCCGCCAGGGATGTCCACTCTCTCCATTCTTGTTTAATTTTTTCATAGACATGCTTCTAGGTATAACATTATCTTCGTCTGAATTTTCATTGGTTGACTTAGAATATGCCTATGACATAGTTCTACTTGGTGAAGACGCTGACAAAATACAGAGTCTTCTGACTACCCTGAGCAATAATGCAAGCATGTTCGGGATGCGATTCTTCCCGCCGAAATGCAAAATGTTGCTTCATGATTGGCCTGCTACGGCACCTGAGCTAGTGATAGGGAGTGACGCAGTTGAGAGTGTCGACCGCTTCACCTTTCTCGGGAATCTTATCAGCGCTGATGGCCTGGTTTGTGACGAAATCTCAGCACGGCTACAGAAGGCCCGATTGGCTTTTGCCAATTTACGTCAATTATGGAGTAGGCAACACATCCGTTTGCAGACTAAAGGACGAGTGTACTGTGTAGCAGTTCGCTCCGTTCTCCTATATGGCTGTGAAACATGACCAGTGAGAGTAGAAGATATTCGTAGGTTACTGGTTTTCGATCATAGGTGTCTTCGAAGCATTGCTCGTGTATCGTGGGACACCCGAGTGAGCAATGCTGCCATTAGGAAAGGAGTACTAGTTAAGGATGGCAGATCGATAGATGAAGTATTGAAACTTCATCAGTTGAGGTGGTTGGGACATGTGTTACGAATGCCCGACCACCGACTGCCTCGACGAGCTTTGTTTTGTGGTGTAGGAATAGGTTGGAAAAAAGTTAGAGGCGGCTAGACCAAAACATGGCAGGAATCCATGAAGTCATCGATAAGTGGACTGAGTCATGATGTTAGATGTAGGCTACATAGTCGGGGTCCGCGAGACGATAGTAACCGTTGGATAGAGACCTTGAATTACATGGCTCAAAATCGTTTGCAATGACGCAAGGTGCATTCACTCGTTGTGTTCTCTCAAGTCCTAATATTCTGAATACCTTATCTCTATCTTTCACTTTCTAAAGTTATCTCATTGAATTATACTTCTTGAATAATATCTTCGATCCCTAATATTCTCCATTACCGCTAATTGTTCTACTGTCTCTATCTCTGTCTCTATTTGAACTAATGGTGGCGGTATGGCAACCCGAACTGATGTACGTACGTACGAAGTGCTACGTTGTAATTGACTGACTAATCTTTCAGTGTTCTGTAACCATTTCAATTCTTTCATCAGATGATACGTTCATATTATTAGGAGGCTTGCTTGCAAATTTTACCAACAGCAAACCATTTCAACAAGTAACCTCATTCTGCTTGTTTTTACATGTCAGTTATATCTATAAATCGCATAATTTTTTCAGGCATGTGTACATAAAAAAGGTTTAACAGTTTATCGCTTTACAAGGTTCAAAAAAGTACAGTCCGAAAGACATTGTGGTGGCTGGTAATTTGCTGAGAAAATAACCGACGTCGATAAGATGTTGATTCTCGAACTGCTTACCTCCAATTGTCGATCACTAATTGTTTTGTAAAGGAAACTTCTTGAAATATTCCTTGTTATGAATTCCAGATTATACTGAACATATAAATATTAAATAAAACCATTATTATTATCATCATTATTAAACTCGTGCAATTTATTTTACTTTCCAAAGGAATACACATTTTCCACATTGATATCAGTCTAAAATTTTCTTAAAACCAAGAATGTACTTGAAAAAAAACTATTGAGTTAGTGGAGTAAATTTGTGGCTTAGATGGATGATTATGATGGAGTTTCGTTCTCTAAGCTTCGTTGTTTTGGTTTCATTGTTCTTCTGAACAACATCATCATTAGCAGAAACTCTAAGTAGACGAGGTGAAGTGATCGGTAACTTCTCCCGTTGACCTCGATCTTCTTTTAGTTGTTATTTTGTTTATGTCCCACTTTGATCAGTTTCTTGATTCTACGTCTATGTCTATGATTTTTCTGATTATTTTGATAAATTGAATGATTGTTGATATGTGTTTGTTGATTGCCAATTGACCTTGAGTGCCAAGCGTCACAATCAAAACATACATACAGCTTAGAGAACAAAATTGTTCAATGAAAAAAAAAAGTATTCTTCTTATTTTAGTTTCAAAACTTCCACATATTCTATCCAATAAGTTGAATAGCCTTTTTAACCTAATGAATGTCATTGATTTGATTGATCATTAATTACCGTTAAGGCAGACAGTGAAGTGAAACAGAGAAACATATCTGCACACATATATTTCTATTGTATGTTTATTTATAATAATAATAATAATCCTATTTAATGTGTACATATATTCTTTCTTATCTTAAAGAACCGCTTCCGATTCATCTATTCATCATACATTAACTGCTGATCATCAATTTCATCCAATTGAACAATATGCTTATGATAATGGTAAATCAGATAAATCTCATGTTTCATTCAATGCTAAATTGATTCATCAATCGAATGATGCATATTTTCGATCAACATGCTGTAAACAATTAAGAGGTGTTGCAGAAGAAGAAGAACACCATGTTAATAATAATAATAATAATTTAACATCCATAAATGATACAGATCATAAACGTATTTGTCAGACACGACGTCATCCAGATATTCAATATGTATCAGATAATAGTAGTAGTAGTAATAATAATAATAATAATAATAATCATTTTATGCATACCGAATTACCAACACATGAATTACATATTATGCCAGCTAAACGACCTTATACATGTTCCACAGAATTACAATCATCCAATGGATTGGATACAACAGTTTGTCAAATGAAAATGTGCACGTATGTATTTTATTTTCTTTTTTTTTTTCTTCAGTAATGAGTTTTTTATTTGGATCGCGAAATAATAATAATAACCGATGGTTAGGAAAGATTTAGAATGATATGGCTGAAAATCGTTTGCAATGATGCAGAGGCATCCATTCTTTGTGTCCTTTCATGACCAAACTCTTCTTCTTCTCCTTCTTTTTAAATTTATTTCACTGGATTATACTTCTTGAATAATATATCACCGAACCCTAGTCTTTTCGATTACTGCTAATACTTCATCTACCTCTACTACTATGAGATTTCAGTTGACAATTCCATCTCTCTGTGTGCTAATGTGGTCTGACAACTGTATGGCGAATCTCTCATTTATTTCGCTTCTACCTAAAGTTTGTGCTTCTGATGAGGATGTTGTTGTTCAGAAGAACAATAAATGCTCTATAATCTAAACATGTAGCTCCGAGGACGAAATTTTACCATGATCTATCCATCCATCTGAGCTACAAATTTTCTCCATTATTTCAATAACCTTCTTTTGTATAGGCGTTAGGAAACGAGTACTAGGTAAGGATGACAGGTCAATCGATGAAGTGGTGAAACTTCATCAGTTGAGGTGGCTGGGACATGTGTTGCGTATGCCTAACCACCGACTGCCTCGACGAACTTTGTTTTGTAGTGTAGGAGTAGGTTGGAAGAAAGTTAGGGGCGGCCAGACCAAAACATGGCAGCAATCCATGAAGTCATTGACGAGTGGACTTAGCCATGTCGGTAATTGTCGACTACCTGGTTGGGGTCCGCGAGATGATAATAGTCGATGGTTAGAGACCTTGAATGACATGGCTCAAAATCGTTCGCAATGGCGCAAATGCATCCATTCTTTGAACTCTCTCAAACCCTAATCTTATGGATTCTTTAACACCTTTAGTTTTGACTCTCTAAAGTTTTCTCACTGAATCATACTTCTTGAATAGTATCTTCTAACCCTAACCTCTCCGATTACTTCTAATTCCCTTACTACCTCTAGTACTATTGGGTTTGAATTGACAATTACATCTCTGTGCTGATGTGGTATGCAACATGAACTGATGTACTTACGTACGAAGTTCTACGTTGCATCTGACTGACTGACTGACTGTATAGGCGTTTTGAACTACCGATAACTTATTGATTGTTTGCATTGTATGTATGTGTAAATATTGTTCTTTATTGTTTTGTTTGTTTGTTTTTTAGATCGCATATGGATAACATTAGCGGTGGTACTATGGAGAAGACAAACATTGTAAGTGACGTTGTTTTTCTTTCGCTCTCATCAAAACGATATTCATTTTTTTCAACTGTTTTCTGTTTCATTACATTAAAATTTGGTTAACTTATTATTTTCTTCTTGATTTTACATTGGGTTATAATTCTCTCGTAGTAAAAAAAACCCAGTTATTCCTATTGCTTAGTATTCTTGGACACTAATACACTCGACAAGTCCCCCAAATCGGAATACGGTTGTTGATCAGGGAAAAGATTTTATTCCAAATAGCAAGGTTAAATAGAAGTAAGAAGCCAAAGCGAATGTGAAATAGGAACGATCTCAGTATCTTTATACTTTTTACTCGAGAAGCTTTTAGGGTGTACTCCAAGTATTGACTAGCGCTGATTGGATACGATTTAGCCAATCAGCGTGCAGCTAACAACACGAGAAGCTCCTAGAATGCTCTCCAATAATCGAATAGCGCTGATTGGATAAGAATTAACCAATCTATGTCCCGCTAACACAGTGAATAAATGTATTGTTTCTTATCAGTAGATTTCAATCTGTTTTATCTGGTTATAAGTGACTGTAATTATGTAAGCTCACTCAGGTCACCATATTTCATGTTTTTCAAAGGAACTCTTGCCAAGCTGTAGATACTCACTTTTTTTGAGTTCAGTGACTCACTTATCAGTATTTCTACAATTGTAAACAGGTTTTCGTCAGACAACTAACATTTACTACAATTCGATCTTCCCATTATGAAAGCTAGAGTTTAGCTATAGCACACCGTATCCCCGAACAATAAGTTTTTTAAAGTATCAATCTAACGCATCGAATACAATTGTACAAAATTACTTTGTCTAACTAGCCTCCTTATGCAGTTATTTCCTGAGTTCCATTTATACCTGTAACAACACCACCTATCATATCTGATAACTGACATTTTTTGTCTTACTATTTAATCAAAGCTAGAGTAGAAGAGAGAGATTGAGGCTTTAAAGCTGATCATATCAGTTTGCTTTTATTTGGAAACCTTGAAGAGTATAATAACACTTAACCTGTATTAAACTTATGATTATTGATATTATTTTGTAGCCTATAAAATATTATAACAGTTGATTTTCTTTTTTTTCTCTCTCTCTTATTTTTTTTCTATCAATCACTTCAACATAACCGTTTCTAGGATTCCATCATCGATGATGATACATCATTGAAACATCATAAAAGTTGGAAAATTCATTCTAGCGTTTATAATAATCCTCATGGTTTAGAACAATCGGTGAATAATAAATCTATTTATCCATATGTATCCAGTAATAGCACTACTAATACAATAACAACCGATTCAAAATATTCCAAACATGTCAATCCATCATTACATAATATTCATTTTAATCAAAATAATTATTCCTTTGATAATAATAGTAGTAATAGTAGTAGTACACATTTAAATAATTTACCTTTACATCAAACAGAATCACATCGACCTGGATTTGTCAATAGGTTATCGGTAAGTGAAAGAGTAATTAGTAGTAGTAGTAGTGGCACAACAAGTGGTGGTGTTGTTGTCGGTGGTGGCGGCAGCAGTGGAAGTATTCAGGATGGTACTACAAGAAATGATGTATTTCTTCGTAATACTAATAGTAATAATAATGATTTGGATGAATATTTACAACTACCAAATTTAATCTGTAAAGCGGATGAATCTAACAGTCATTTTGGTGAGTTGACAAATATGTTTGTTTGTCAAAAGTTTTGTTTATCTACCTATTTTCTCATTGTTTTTCAAATAGTAAACAGTGACAAACAAAGTGGATTAATTTAAAAATTATTCGTAACATGTGTTAGAAGTAGTTAAAATGTTTGTGTATTTAATTAGTTACATGAATACTGATGGCCGTATCTTAATAGATGAAATCAATCTACGTATAGTTGAAGCTAGCTAGAGTGATCCGCGTCAATCTGGACAATTTATGGCACCGTCATCATTTTGGTCTGGATGTGAAATATTAAACTTACAACGCGTCAGTTAGACTAGTTGCACTCTATGCACGTGAAACTTGAACTTGCTGGATTAAGGATGTTAGACGGCTCTTTGTTCCCTCCGGAGTATTACTTGGATTCAGTACATAAGTTTGACTAAAACATCCATGAAGTCATTAACAACTAAACTGAGTCATGTTGGCAAGTGTAGACTACACGGTTATGGTCCATGAGATGATAGTAATCGATGCTTAGAGACCTTGAGTGACATTGCTCAATAGCGTTTACAATGGCGAAGATGCATTTCAAATCTCTTAACCTTCGGAATTCCTCATGACCATTTTCTTCGCTTCTTAAGTTTATTTCACTGGATTATACTTCTTGAACAATATGTTCGAACCCTAGTCTTTTCAATTACTGCTAATACTTCAATTACCTTTACTACTATGAGATTTCAATTGAAAATTCCATCTCTCTGTGTGCTAATATGGTATGACAACAACTTAAACTGATGTATGTCCACGTACGTACCAAATTCTACGTTGTTGTAGCTAATTCATTGACTTATTTTGGTGCTCTTTTTAATATACAAATATATTTAAGTGCTTTAATCAATAAAAACTTTTTTTTCAATAAATCTTATATAATGATCCATTTACGCTCACAACATGACTCTTTTGATGATGTTGTAAAATGCATGTGATCTGCCAATCTTGTGATTATATTTACTCATGATTATTGCTATTATTATTATTATTATTATTATTATTATTATTATTATTATTATTATTATTATTATTATTGGCAGTAGTATAAGTATCAGTAATTTATCTGGCATCGCTAAATCACTAAGATTATTGTACGATTATTTGGTATATTTTTTCATTTTATTGAGGATATGAATCGACTTAGGTTGGTGAAAGATAAAAAGAAGCAAACATTGGTTAGCTGTATCATTGTAGTATGGAATAAAAAGAAGAGTTCTACAGTGTTGAAAGTGTAACGCCAGTTAATTAGGCACATCAAATAAAATAATACATAATAATGTGAATGGATTGAAACTAAAAATGTGAATTATTGTATAACTACTAGCTCAATGGTCTGAAGGTTAATTAAGCACTCACAATGCAGTATTCAACTCTAAGGTGTTATAAATGTGCCTACTAATTAGAAGGTTCGATGCCAGGACAAAATAGCTTCATTTATGAGGTGATTGCATATAAATCATACCTTGTAAATTTAACATACACTTATACGGTCATCCGGTTACATTAAATCAAACTAGATGGGAATCATTCAGAACCTCAGTGAGTTAGTCAACTATGACATAGTTCTTGGTACATGAACGTACATCAGTTTAAGTTGTTGTCATACCATGTTGGTACACAGAGAGATGGAATTTTCAATTGAAATCTCATAGTAGTAAAGGTAGTTGAAGTATTAGCAGTAATTGAAAAAACTAGGGTTCTGTGATATATTATTCAAGAAGTATAATCCAGTGAAATAAACTTAATAAGCGAAGATAATGGTCATGAGGAATTTAGCAGGTAAGAATTTGAGAGAAGACCAAGAATGGATACATCTGCGCCATTGTAAGTGATTGTGAGCTATGTTATTCGAAGCCTGTGACAATCGATTACTATCATCTCATGGACCACAACCGTGTAGTCTTCACTGATCAATATAACTCAATCCAGTTGTCAGTGACTTCATAGATTTGTGTCATGTTTTGGTTTAGCTGCCTCTAGCTTTCGTCCAACATATTCCTACGCCACAAAACATAACTCGATGAGACAGTCGGTTGTTAGGCATTCGTAACACATGTCCCAACCACCTCAACTGATGAAGTTTCATTACTTCATCTATTTACCTGCTATCCGTACCTAGCACCTGTTCCCTAACAACAGCATTGCTTACTCGGTTGTCCCATTATACACGAGCAATGCTTCGGAGACTCCTATGATCGAAAACCAGTAGCCTACGAATATCTCCTACTCTGACTGGCCATGTTTCACAGCCATAAAGTAGGACTGAGCGAACTGCTGCGTACCACACTCGTCCTTTGTGACGAGTGACGAAGGTCGGTAAAAGCCAGTCGATCCTTCTGTATCTGCGTTGAGATTTCTTCAGACACCAGACTCCCTAGCGGTCGACATGCTCAACTGCTTCACTCCCTATCACTAGTTCAGGTGCCGATACAAGCCAATCTTGAATCAACATTTGGTTAGAACTTAAGACTTAGTTGGTCTAAATTTTAACAAGTTAATTTTACCATACCATCATTCCACTTTCATAAACAACTACAGGTTAGTGAGATAAATTTTTTTTATAGATCAAGGTTAAGTTTTCTCAATTGTGCTTAATATTCAAAGCAAAAACAACCACAAACCTATATGTTTGAGTTTACAAATCTAGTGTGACATTTGAATATTATGTCATATATGTTTACAGTATTATTGTTATTATTATTATTATTATTATTATTATTATTATTATTATTATTATTATGATTTATGCAAATAAAATTTTATAAAACAGGACATTAAACTGTAGAATACTCTACACAATTATATGTGTTATGGGAACCTAGACCGAAATTGTCGGTTTTACTAGGAAGCGACTGCCTGAGCATTTGAACGAAGCGACTCATTCACAAAACAGTTGATGAACAACGTCAAGAGCTGCAGTCTCACGATAACCAATGCCATTACTTCCTTTAGGATCCTGGGGAATATTGGAATCAGGCTTTTACAACTTCATTAGGTGGATTCTACGTACCCACTAATCCAGTTTAAGCCCTACCAGGACATTCATAAACATCATTTCTGCCTCAAAGAAGTAGTGAGTAGGGATTCCGCTGCAGTGTGTCTGTGAATCTGTAGCTCTATAGAGAGGAAGGATTTCAAGACAAAGAGCGAACTCTCGACATGTTCGCCTTACCAGTGCACATTTATAGGTATTTTTCTACTGTAATTTAATTGAATTATTATATTATCTTTCATTGATTTCTCTCATTTGGTTATCAGTAAGAAAAAAGTCATGCATTTAATTTGAAAAAATTATTTTGTTTCCCTCAACAGCTGGACGACGTGATAGTTGTACTATGACTGCAGAAATACTTTCCACTTTAGCTAGTTTTCGAGATGAAATCGGCGAATGTTCTGATGGAAAAATTCATTCAGATATTACTACTGCTACTACTACTACCACTACCACTATTACTGCTGCTTCTGCTATCGTTCCTGTTGGTTCTGGTCTTGGTTCTCATTGTGCAAATATATCAAATCGTCCCGGTGTATATACTACTCATCTACTTAAGGATGATACCAGTGCTCATAAAAATATTATCAAACAGACAACTACTCATATACACAATAGTATGCTATCTTCTGATTCGTCAATGCCTTGTACTAATACTACTTCTACTAGTACTTTTGCTAGTAGTAGTAATAGCAGTACTACTAATACTACTACTACTACTACTACCATTGATCAATGTCGACTTCAAAGTACACCTTTCGTTCAAACTCATCACCATCATCATCATCATCATCATCCTCATCATCATCTTGGGGCTGGCAATAGTGGATTATGCACAAATTCCTCGGTACCAACTGTTTATTCATCGTGTTTACATCATGTCGGTGATAAAATTGGCATATCTATGTCTCCGAATGATTATCGTCTGTTAACAGATCCTAGATTGATCAATTATGTCACGGATAAAGAGACTGAAGCCAAGCTTATCAATCAATAATTATAACACACACACACAGTCAGTATTAAGCAGTCGTAGTCTCATTCTTGACATCTATTGGTATTGCATTAGCCCGGTGTAAGAATGTGTGTGTGTGTGTGTGTGGTTGATTCTGCCCAATGTGTGTGTGTGGTGTGTGTGTGCGTGTGCATGTGCAAAAATCGACAATAACAACACACCAACCACAGTAACAACAAATCATCGTTTTTATTTTTTTTTTGCCATGACCAACTTGCGTCAAGATGAATTTAGCCTTCATATCATGCATATATATAATTGTTGACAAGAAAAAAAATTAACCACAAAACAAAAATAACCTGCCCTATAGCATCAATTCCCAGTTGTTTTTTTTGTCTTGTTCCTACTTGTTTTAAGCATACATACATAAATAGAAGATGTTATTAATTATTTACTAACTGACTTACTTACATTAGTACTGATCATTTTTTTGTGATAATGAAATTTTACTAAAAAAAAAAATAAATACTCTTCTTTTTCTCTGATAAATAGTGAGTTGTTTGATTGCCTAATAGATTGATCGATTTGTTCGTTCGTTCATTCATTGATTCTTTTACACTTGTATGAACTAGTAGATTGTAATTTCTATCTTTCTTTGTTTCTTTCTTTAATTGTATTTGATTATACATTTTCTTGTTATTATCATTTTATTGTACATGAGATATTATTGTGTTATTAATTAGTAGTGGTGTGTACTACTTGCTGGTAATATAAAGTGTATTTTATGTATACGACCGATTTATTTATCTATCTAACTATCTATCTATCTGTTTACTGCTTTTTATTCCTACTTAACCGGTAACAATACATATACACAAAAAAACAGTGTGCTTAAAAAAAATTCCCATATACAACACACACACACATGCATACATAGCAAAGTAATGACAACTGTGTACTAGTTCCACCATCATAAATGTGGAGCTTGGGTTTTGTTACTTTTTGTCTCTCTGATCTACTAGAATCCGCTACTCACTTTCATCTTTCTGTTTATCTTGACTTCCTTCTTTCATTTATTTTGCATTTCTTTTCTTTTTCTGTTTTTATTCTCTGTTCCATCCATCAGCCAACCCGGTTAATATTGCCCATTTAGTTTATTTCATTGTTGAAGTGATTCTATAAACCTGCTGACATCATTTTCTTATGTCTGTGGGTGTTGAATTCTGATGTACACATCCTAGTGATAAAATAAGACCAAAGATTCGTTATTGTTACTATTACTACAACTACAACAACAATAGCTTCTAATATTTTATACTACCTACTTGTATTGTTATCCGGTATCAATTTAAATGCGGACTTATTTCGTGTCACTATTCCATACATCCGACAGAAGAAAAAAAACATTCATATTTATTTATGTTGGTGGTGCTTTTTTTTGTCTGTACATGCCCTGAATTTTTGACATATGTCCAGTGAATTTTATTGTAATGTTTACTGTTTACTAAATACTATTGTTTATGAATACTGTTCCCGGTTGCCACCTTCCACACTACTACAATTATCGCTGTCGTTGCTGCCATCATCATCATCATCATCATGTTCTATTCGGTTGTCTTTTGTGTGCGCATTATGCACTGATCATGAACACATGTGCGTGTATGTGTGTGTGTACGTGTCCACTTGTCTTTTTTTCGGCGTCTCATCATTGTTTAACTGTACTCTAAATTCATTGTTAATTGTTAGTACTACTACTCTACTCTATAATAATAATAATGATAATAATAATATAATATAATCAATAGAGTTGGTGTTATTGCTTATTTATTTATTTAATTGTTCTAACCTTTTAACCACTTATTATTATTATTATTACTATTATTACTATTATTATTATTATTATTATTATTATTATTATTGTATTGTGCCACTTTGATTATTTTCACGATAATGGTATATCCATTCATTTAGTTGTTGACTTCTCTGTGGTATTTTTTTTCGTATTTTACAAAAAAAGAAAGGAAGTAATAATAATCAATAAAATTACATATTCAGTTATGTATGTATGATTGTGAGTTATGTATCATAGTACTGTAACTTTTTGTGTATAGGTGCTTTTGAACTCCAGCCAACTCCTATCATCATTGTTCTTGTTGTGTACAAGGGAGCTGTAGGAAAAAGAAACAAAAAAACCAATTACACTAAACCATATACATGTCGTGGCACAATATCTTTTTCATCTCCCTGTTGAATATCACATACGAGAGAAATATCATCACATCACTACTGCTTCCGGCTTCTCTCTCCCCCATTAGAAACTCTTGTAATCTTTTCTGTGTACTTGTGTGTGATTGAATTTTCATCGCAATCAATTAAATTGATCTAATGTTGTGTAAATGTTTGCCTTTCTTTGTGTAAGCATGTATGTATGTGTTGAATAAGTGATTGTTTGATCTCTTATCGTTCGTTATATTCCACACAGTGTTCGTGTTGTTGTTGTTGTTGCTGCTGCTGCTGACATTCTTATTATTGTTATTATTATTATCATCATCGTCGTTGGTGCACAATTTTTTTCCTCCGACTATCCTCCTCCTCCTCCTCTTCGCCATCATCATCATCATAAATTGTATCAATTTATTTATACAACAGTAAATATCATCGATTCTCATTTCTATTTAATTATAATTTCTCATTCAATTATCATGTTACTACTTTGTTTCATTCTAATGAAGTAACAACATACAGAAGACTATGTTTTGTCATTCATTGTCTCTCTAATCTTACAATTAATTCTTTCTATTCTATGTGTATGTAAACATGATCCTTCTTTAATCATTTACACCCATCTTCTATATTTTTTAAATGTTTCATTAAAAATCGTTTTTTTTTTACTGTGAATATTAACAACAATCAGAATGAATAAATTTTGATTAAGTCAAACAAATATTACCGTATGTATGAAGGATATTAAATGTTTGCTTGATGTGTTGTTTTGACACAAAACTTACTGATAAACTGTCACAGCATGTAGTGTGTGTATGTGTGTGTGTGTGTGTGTTTGTTTTTCTCTTCCTCATAGACACACACACGTGCACTGTTTGTTTGCATTATTCAAAGTCAACCCTCATTACTTTCTTTTTTTTCATTTCACCACTGTTTGTGCATTTCTTCCCAGTTGCTCTGATCTTTGATTTCAAATTCTGTCCTTTCCTGTTTATTATTATTATTATGCTTAATTGTTTTTCTGTTTTTTTTCCTTACAATACCACTGGCTAATTGAACGGCATCAATTTAGTTTTTTTTTTAATTTGTAATTTCTTGTTGTGTTATTTTATTCTTCGTCATTGAGCCTGCCTATGCGTATATTCCTTTTTCTTTTCTTTAATGGTGTGTATGCGTGTGTGGTCTGAATAAACAGAAAGAAAAAAGGATTGAATTTTACTTAATAAAATAAATAAATAAACAAACAAACATGAAGTTGAAATTATCACTTCTTTATTGATCTTCAAGTAGTAGACGTTGTTTGTTGAGTTTAAAAGGGTTCCGCTCGAGTTACATGATTTTTTTTGCTTGAACTTTAATTACCAACGATTGTACTATTTGTCTCAATGAAACTGGATCTACGCGAACCTTGCGGACCAGACAAATGATGCATGACACTTCGATAGTAATCATCTTCAATGTAGGAGAATAGCTTATTCAACGAGATAAAGTAGTCAGATTTGTAATGCAACAACTTTATATATTAAGCTAACAATCGATGACCTTGGGACATGATAAACGTACTAAACTGAAAGCATGAATAACCAATCCAATGATAGATAGACATACACTGGAAAAATCCTGTTGCAATGACCTTTTGTCATAAATATTATTTATCAATAAAAGCTAGATATCATTAGGTTTTATTAACAGTGTTATTTCTATCGATATACAAGTTCGATAACGTACAGTGAGTGTCAAAAGTATCATGACGAACTTCCAACTTTTTTCCAGCCAATCGGGAAATAGTTTTCATAACTATATAATTTGATTGGATGAGAAACAATACAAAGTGTAAACAAATATGACACAATTAGTAAGTTTAACAAATTCATTTGTAGGACGTTCTACCTCTAAATCAAAAGTAACAACGATTCATAAATAGGATTGTTCTTGTTTAAAACTTGAAAGGAAACAACCAGATTTCCAAGTCTCCCTGCATTATCTCTAGTTAGCGTTAGGTATTTGGGCTAAGAATTAGGGATTTTTTATAGTATCAGCTACGATATGAAGATGCTTTTTGGCCATATAGATCAGAGAATTTTGTTCGAAAATGCATGCAAAATGATCAGTTCAAGTCCTGGATTCGTCATACAACTGAATCGTTAACAGAAGCATGGTAAACGTCTTTCATTTCATATCCATGATGGAACGTATACATTTAAATGGATGGCGGGAGATATTTCTAGCTGTCGCTTCCTTATTTCGAAGTGTACTATTGACTGAAACAATCGACTTTGACTGTCAGCAACTATTAATAAAAAAGAACATTGGAATTCCCGCGGTTTGTCTCAAAATATTACTCTTGAAGTGTATGGTGAACTTTTATTTCGTCCGTAATAACACATTATAAACCAATTGATGGAATGGCAATGGGCTCACCTTTAGGATTTATCCTTGTTGACTTCTTTCTTGAAGAGCGAGGAAATGGACCTCAAGAAGGCTATTGATCAGCTCGACTTTTACTGCTGTTACACTGATGATAGTTTCTTTATTAATTAAAGAAGAACTCTTGAAGCAACTTAACAATAAATTCTCTTAGGAGGAACTTGTTTACAAACCAGTTATTTTTTGACGTTTTATTTAACAAAATGATCCTATTAGTAGAAGTATGTATTGAAAAAGTTATTTGTCAATCCGGTGCACCCATTTCTTGCGATTCGTACCCATTTGTTACAGGTTAGTTAAATGTTTCTCAAGTAGAGTTAACAAGATGTACTCAGAAGACACCATTAAAAATGCTTGAGCTAATTTCTGATATGTTGATTGAAGTAGGTTATCTGCAAGGTTCTCTGAAGAAGCACTTGCATATAATGAACAGAGATATAGACAGAAACCTCTTCCGGAAACTAAAATTCATTGGAGATGTAACTAGTGATGTGCTCCCAGACAGACTGACTAAAGTGACGAAGAGGATTTTTGGTGTATCTAGGAACTCTGTCGTATTCTAGACGATGATGATTTCTCAACTAAAGTATAAATCACCTGGTTGCGCCACAACCATGTGTATCTTTGTCGGGGACGTTAGATCTTCAGAACTCACTTGGAAAAAGACCTAATTTTGTAATTTATTTCTGAAATTTTGAATTTCTATCTTTTCGAAATGACAGACACTTCGTTGACCTACAGCTTACATTGCTCACTCGGAAATCCTTGACTGTCATCGGTTGACGGATTATTTTATGGCCAACGGATTGCTATCATTGTATGAATAAGCTTGATTTGTGTTCTTAGC